AAAAAAAAAAAAAAGAGACACCATGAAAAAAAAAGGGATGCCATGATCAGGAACATGGTTTATGTATAAGTTCGCATATATTGAGAACTTGTATTATTTTAGTAACTAATCTAAGATTCCTAAAGCTGTGAACCACAATTTTGTTATCAGCAGATCTGCTCATGGCATAGGTCGGCTCTCACATCTATTATTGCATGTTTTCTGAGATCATTTGAGGTAGATGTGACTGTTTTAGTTCATATGTGAGGAGGCTAACAGTCAGAACAGTTCTGTGACTTATGTGAGGACACACAGCAAGTGACAGAACCTGTCTGTGGCATACAGCTGAATTCCCCACCACCCATCATTGCCCTTCCCCGTCATGCACAGGACCTGTGACACAGAAACCTGTGGGTCCCATTGCAGGTTCCACGTGAGTTAGAGGGAAACTTTTTTCCTTTCCCCTCCCTGTTCACATGTCAAGTGTTTTGTAGCTACAAGAACATTTCAGGGCTGGGAGTCCAGGCCAGCTTTGTGTGGGCCTCTGGAGGGGCAAGGATTTTGTGTTGTAGGTGAAGGGGCTGCCCATTCTGGACTCACACAGCACCACTGAGTCTAACCTGGTTTCCTCTAACCGGCAAAGGGCTCTGTCTCTTCGACATGGAATCAGACTGGAACCGTGACTGGAAGACTTTCTGCCAAGCATCCTGTGAGTTGTTTCCACTGTCTTTGTTAAGCACCGGTTTCCATGCCTTGCAGTTGAGGTTTTGTCCCAATGTGTGCCCTGTTTCCCGTTTATCAGTACTTTCCGTTTTGTACTGATAAACTGTGAATGGTGTTTATTCTCTTCACTGACGTTCACTGAGCACCTCCTGTGTTCTGGACAACCTCTCCTTATGAGGTGGCTGAGTTAGCGAGGAAGGAGCCATCATGGCCAGAAACTCTGGGCTCCAGCGCCGGTGTTCCTTTTCATATTTGTGCTAGCAGAGGGCTTCCAATTTCCAGAAACATGTTGACATATCTGTTGCTCTCATGACAAACTCCATGTTTTGGTTGTTATTGCAGACTATTTGTGATGAAAAAAGCTATAAATGGTAGGAAATTTACGATGTATCTTTAAAAAAACTTAAAAGCTGG